ATGAACAAATAGTTAGACAAAAAGAAAATATTCAAGCATTTTTGAATTGGCAAGACTTCGCTCAAACATTCAACTGCAATTAAGAATAATGAGACCATAAAGTAATGAGCATAACTTCTCAACAAATTACTTACATACCCGTAGGTATATAATATGGCTAAAAATTATAGGGTAGCCATAAATTTCGCAAATAATGGTACATGTCACAATATGTAGTAAGATCGTAACATCTTAAAATTGTGCGTATGTCTAACGAGAACCAGTTTGATGTCGAGGTCGGACTCGGGTTTTACAATTGGTGAAATTTTACACAAGCATAGTTACACTACAATAATAATAATTATGTTATGGCTTAACATAATTAGCTTATTATGATGAGGATTTATTAAAATTATGATATTATATCTCTCATCAAAGTTTCACTAAATTAGCATAGTTTACAATTACATAATTTTGATTGTTTTATATTATATCTGTACACGATTTCAGTATTTACTTACTAACAATATCTTCATTTATTAAATGAATCTAATCAATATTCTTAAGTTTTTCCACCTCAATTGGGTACTTTCCTTAGTCAAAAATTAATTGGTATTATGATCAACTTCATTTTAGTAGTTTTCCAGCAATTTTTTAAGAAATAAGTATGCCTTTTGACTCTAAAAAAAAGTTACATCACAACAATACACAATCTCAGACAAAATTCATAGAAAATTGTCCTTTTTGAGAATTCGAAAAAAGCATTGAATGTGACTACTTGGCAAGTACCCAATTGTACTCGTCTTTCTCATCAGTTCTCGAACGCCCGAATATTGTAAGGCTATTTTAAGTTGTACTTGAATGTAAATATAGTAGGCGCCATCTCTGTCATTTCACAAATAATTTGTAGTGACAGAACTAAAGTTCTGTATTACTGTACAAATTCTTCAGCAAGTAATAAGTAAGTATACTTAAGCAAGACTTTAAATTGAATAGCGTTTGAGTATTTGAACGTACTAAATTAATTAAGTAATCAATAAACTCTGTAAAGATTTTTCTTTCGACCCATTTTGCACAAAACTTACTGTGGCGCGAGAGCAGCTGAACCTTGATTTCTTTAATTTATAATACGGTGACACAGTTCACAGTTCACAGTTTGAGTTTGTTTCAGAATTTCTTCTCATCATAATCAGTTAGGATATGTCGACCTCATCGTTCGCTTGATAAAATTGACGTGTAAAAGTGCTCCCTTGTAGCCTATTTGCAGAAATATATTCAATTGTTTCACTTGTTTACGGTTTTAATATTTGCTTTAATTTGTGCATCATTATAAACTGCCTGTGGTTTAATAAGTTTAATACGTAATTATAGGTCTGTGTTGGCATGTTTCTACTCTCTGTCACTAATCGTAGAAACCAGTAATTGGCTTTCTGTTGCATACCACATTCTATTTAAATAAATTGTATAGATGTTGGTTTTCCAAATGTATAGATAAAAATAAAAAATAACAATTAAAAAGCAATTTGAAAATAGAAGTGTAACAAACAAATAAATTCGTTATTCAAATGTGATGAGAGATGATCGTGTTTGCCTCGTATGATTAATTTATCGACCAATAAAGCTATTTCAGTAGCATGCAATAATGCATTCAACCGCAAAATTAAGACTTTTATTTACTTTTTGTTATTTATGATTATTTTTTAACACTCGCTGTAACATATCTATAAATCATAGTGAAATTATTTATTGCAGAACTTATAATATTATGGTTTAAGAATTATTGTTAGAAATAAAGTAAGTATGTACTTTTTGCCACTTAGTTTTTCTATGAAACAGAATTAGCTTAATACCACTTAATATTCTAACATACATAGTTCATTCTACTGCCTCGTTGCCCGAGTGGTCCCAAGTGCGACTGCCGGGGAAGGGGTCTTGCGATTCCCGAGTCGGGCAAAGTATTACTGGGTTTTAAAAAAAATACTTGGTAGTAACACTCTGTCATAATCTCAGTATGGAATTGTGCCCGGTATATGGCAACAGGCTCACCCCCTATTACATGGGACTCATAACATAAATAGTGAAAAGTGGGTGTTGCATCACAAAACGCCCACTTTTCCTATTTATGTTAATGCTACAGCATTAAGTGCTGTAATAGGCACCTCTGCCTACCCCATCAGAATTTAACCCTTTGATGAGGTGTGATGTTATGATAAGTTCATTCTACTGGATATTTTAGACGATCAGAGAGATCATTTTGAGAAATATTTTTATTTAATGAAGCTTCAGCCCGGACCCCCATGTCAAAAGATTCTCATTCTATTTTCACCTATTACTTTACATAGGCCTCTCGAGCATGCCACTCAACTGAAGGAATGTAATAACAAAATATTACATAACAAAAATATATTAATAAATGTTAATTAAGCCGTCAAGCAACAAAATAGTTAATATAAATACGTTTTCCTGCATTTTCTCTAGTATTTTGTTATACAATCAGTACTTGGTATCACTACTACTTGGTAGCTACTGTTTACAACCAGTACCTTTAAACTCGTTGCTGGTCAGTAAACAACATTTTTGTTTAGCTCAAGTCTACTAGAGAATTTGCATAGGGCATGCAAATTTATTCGTTCTTAGAAGTTGCGTTGAAATTTCTATTACGTTAATCGTTTGTGCCTTATTTGTTTACAAAAAACAAAACTATTAAAAGGATAGAATTTGAGAAACAAGTTTCAGCAATGCTATATTCCGAAAAGTTAAAAAAATTGACAAACCATTTTGTGGTAGATCACAATTTCAACAGAAGAAAAAACACATACGTGTGTGAGTACTTCTACAAAGAAGTGAACTAGATATTTTATAATTAATTAATCACATATGATGTCCAACTCACACTAACGAAGCGCTTAACATCAAGCTTCCTTGTGCGTACTGCTAAGGAGTGGAATTCTTTGCCAGAGTCCGTATATCCTGAAGGGTATAACTTGGGTGTCTTCAAGACCTGAGTGAATAGATTGTTATGGGACCACGTGCTCCATCGTAGACCGCATTGTCGCTTACCACCAGGCGAGATAGTGGTCAAACGCCCATTAAACATCAAATATAAAAAAGTATCTCAAATGCATTTAACTCCTTATTATAGAACCCTTAAAGAGTCTTACTTTACTGTTCGAACAACGCTGCAATGGAGCACAGAATACTTAAAAGTTCAATGTAGAAACATGATGTATGCAAGCAAATAAATAAAAAACCATACAAAAACAACCAACAGCTTTACAACTTAATCGAACATAATAATAATTAACAAAAGTATTAACAAACAAGCGATCTATAAGTGTTACCCAAGCTGTGACGCAATGACTCATCATCATCAGGCAACCTCATTTAATCGGCTACATCCATCAATGAGTAACTCCTCGTGGTATTGACCTACACAGGTGATTAATCTTATTTAAATACATATGTATTTCATTTTGCGTAACTTTTTTATTAGTGTTTGAATACGATTCAGTAAATAACACGTAATTTTATATTTACTAGGTACTAGCTACTTCCGCGCGGTTGCACCTGCTCTGCTCGGCTCCTAATAATCATAGCGTGATGTTTTGTAGTCTATAACCTTCCTCGATAAATGTACTATCCATCACAAAAAGAATTATTGAAATCGGACTGATAGTTTCGGAGATTAGCGCGTCCAAACAAACAAACAAAAAAACAAACTCTTCAGCTTTATAATATTAGTATAGATAAGTGTCTATTTGGGCACATGTCTATTCAGGGTTCTTGCATAATGAATCCAGATTGCTTACGGATAAAATGTTATTCATTTTTCTATTTATTACCACTAATCTAACTAGACTTTCCACAAAATGGACGGCTATATTTCGAATATATGAGCTGATATTCGAGCTCAGCTACGTGCTGTTGGAAAGCCTGTCCAGTAGTAGAAGAAAAACGGGTGAACGAATAAACAGCTACAGTTGAACCATGTCGTACAAAAAAAATAACGAAAGCCTTTCTGTAAAATGGAAATATATCTGTATGAAGAAGAACCCAAGAAAATGAGGAGTTATTTTAAAAATGTCGACTGGTGTCAACCTGTCCAATCGACTGGCTTGCATCGTAAATCCAGCTCAAGTTTGTGCGTAAACGCTTCCCTGTTATGTAATAATGCTGCGGCCAACATGTTCTGGGTCGATCTCCAGAGGCATTTTTTTTCGTGTCGGGCTGGATAAACCCATTTTAAAATCGAAAAACGTTTTCAAAATATTTTTTTATAGACAGTTCAGTGTCTAATCTACGTGATACAAGGCTAATATTATGAATAAGTTTATTATAAATAATTTAAAAAAAATCTTAAACCCTAAAATCCTGATCGCTCTGGGTTGACCCAACTCCCGATTGAATGAAAAAAATATTTTTTAACTTTTTAATGAGAAGGTTCATATAAAACAACTTGTTTAGATTACATAACAAATAGTTAATCTTCATAGTAATAAAATATTTGTAGTTATATTAACAATACTTTTGCCACAATTTGAATTTAAAATCGTGACCGGGCATTTTATCTCATCGCTCTGCGCTGAGGTAAAACATCGCGCTCATCCCTAGTTACGCGTTATAGACACTCTATTCCCCTCCCGCGGGGCAACGCCAGTAGTGGTCTAACCGCCGAGGAGGATACCTGTGTGCCACGTTCTCGCGCTCCAACTTTACGAAGGTAAGTTTATGATTGCTCTGGATTTGGTTCTCGAATTTTATGATTGCTATGGCACGTTATTTAAATTAAATAGTAAGCTTGTGAATGTGTTTGTTATATGAATTAAGTGATCGTTATGATGTTCTTTATGAGACGTAATCACAACTTTCTACTGCTTTTAAATTCGGCTATATTTATGATTTTGTGACTTTTTCTGATCGCTATGGCTGTGATTGCTCTGTCCAAAAAGACCAGAGCGATTATATTTTGCATTAATTGTACGTTATAAATCTATTTTAAGTAGTAGTACCGGACTGTAACAATGACAAACGATGAACTATGCACATAACCTTTAATTTATAACCTTGCCTGGGTTTCCTTGGATAACCTAAACCCATAAACAGATTTTGACGTATTTTACCTTGATGATATTATTATATTGGCATTTAGCTAACCACAACTAAAACCCTTTCTTCTTTAAAATTTAATGGCAACTATTGTTGCAGATTGAAATCATGCCTCGAAATAAATTATCTATTGAAGAAAAACGTCTTAGGAAGAAATTGGCTGAGCGTCGTAGAATGGCCAAAATAAAAAATGATCCAGATCTATACGCACAATGGCTTGTAAAGTCCAGAGAGAGTTATCAAAGGAAAAAAGCTCGGGGCACAGTACTACCAATGAGTGATTTAACTCCAAGCCAGCAAAAGGTTCGTAGGAAGAAAAGTAGACAGAGTTCTCGACGATATTATTTAAAGAAAAAAGTGGATAAGTTATCAGCAACTGATGAGCTCCCAATAAATGAAGAACCTATCTATATATCTGAGAACTGTGATCCTCTTTCAAATGTTCTTTACTTTCTACTAAAGATATAGTTAAGGAATTAAGTGATTATTACAAATATCTTAGATAATCTTGAAAAGACTGTATTTTAGTCATGATTCTAAGTCCTATTAAGCATTATGATGATTACACATAGTTAAGTTTATAAATTGTTTATTTTTTAAGAATTTTATTTTGTTCTTTATAAAAGTTAGTTTTCTTTATTTAGTTTGTCTAAGTCATTTTATAATTATAAAAGACTGTAGGTATTAATAGTTGATCTCAAAAGGTTTTTAATTTTGTCTCATTTACCTAGAAGTGATTTAATTAAGTCCAAATAAATGGAACTACCCCAAAAGTTGAGTTTTATAATTATGTTAATTTGTTATTTTAGCAATTATTTTATATAAACTATTCCGTATTTTTTTTTTATATGTATGACTGATGCCTTGACCATTTTCTAAAAATACATTTCTCTTATATATATCTTGTTACACGTACACTGAATATGACTGAAAATGCCTAAATAAATAATATTTTATCAATATATTTTTTTTGTTTCACTGATTTCACCATTTATGATCGCTCTGGCACCAATTATGATTGCTCTGGTCGCGAAATTTTTTAAACTTAAATATTTCCATAACTGTTTGTGTAAATTGAAGGCCAATAGTAAAAAAATACTATTTGAACATCATACTTTTTAATGATATGCATAATTACCATTAAATATCAATATCTGAAAAGCACCAGAGCGATCACACGAATACGCCCGTTTTGGAGATTGACCCTTCTACGGTGTAACTTGTATGTGTGAGTGTGTTTGTAGTGAAATATACATCTACAGAAGGATTACCTGATGGGATAATATAGGATACATGATCACCAATGATCCATTATGATAGTGATTAGATGCGATAAAGATTTTATGTTTAAGCAAGAGAGAATTTATTAATTTAAAAAATTATCAGCATTTATGAAATCTAAAACATTTTGGATTCCTGATATGTACGCTCAGGAACTATTATTGAGGACAAGGTTTGATTCATGTGATATTTCAAGGCTACTTACTGTATAGTGAAATCTTTCTAACCTAAAAATAATAAGTTCCTACTTTCAATTAGTACTGACGGTAGATTTTTGCTCTACAACTTCACCTTCTCCAATGATTCTGTCACATAAATAAACTGACGTTAGTACTCGGATCCCGTACGACCACATTCTCTGCTGACATCCCAACAAATCAAGTGGACGTAACATTTAATTGGATCTGTTTTGCAGGTCTATAGTTTTTGCTTCATTCTCCATCTGTATAGATAGAAGCTATTTACATTAGATTGTTTTATAGCTTGGAAAAGAAAATGATAGCCAGAAGCGCTGTACGGTCTTGAGAATTTTCTGGAAAAGTAAAGGGTGATTATCTAATCATCTTTTACTGTCCATATTAGGTGTCAAGTTACAAAAGTAAGTACAAAAGGTACAGTTAATGATTTTCAAAGTCAAAGTCAAAATCATTTATTTCAATAAGACCAGAAAGGTACTTTTGAACGTCAATAAAAAATTAAAAGTAAAGGTATTTGCTCATTCAAGGGATGTAGATTCCTATCTAGAAGAACGAGCAAGTAACTCCATTTTATTACAACCTGCATAATATGACTGGCAATATTTTTATACTAACAATGTATAACCAGGCTTACATTTATTTTTGCAAGTGAAGTCAGGTCTAAAAACTTAACAACCATTTTATGCAATAAGACAAGCTAACAACATCATCGTGCCAACTGCCAAAAAACCTGCATTGTGGAATGATTTACACAAACAATTACACAATTTTACACCAAATATACTTTACTTTAAACCTCGTAATGTTGTAATTATGACACCGTTATAAATTCACTTTGATGACGGCTAGAAGACTGCTTACCTAGTAAAGTGATGAGGCGTGAATTACAACACTTGTTCAATATGTTCATCAACCAGACATCGAAGTGGGTCCACTTGTTCCGACACACTGATTGTATAGAGAAAAGCAATTTTACATAATTTACAGCTGTAGTGCGCTTCAGCGGACCAAACTGAAATGTATCGGTTGAGGTTTGGTGTGAGTGTAGACGATTTTATTGAATTGAAATAGAAAATAATACAAACTACTTTTTTGAATGAAAAACATATTGTAAACGTAATCAAACGAATTCATTATATTCATGTGTAATGAGATTTGCATATTACTATTATACTAGATGTATTATTATTCGAATTAGAGGAAAACAAATTAGTCCCAAAACTGATCCCTGAGTAACTCTTTTTTTCTCTCCTTTATAAATTAATCATAATTTACCTACAGTATAGAAAACTTGATTTTTTCATTGAATATCAATATTCCTACATTATGCCTGACTTTAAAATATATCTATCAAATGAATTTAAGTGCTTAATTAGGTAATTATACCATGATCGCGGAAATCAAACGCTAAAGCAAGTGCACAGAAATCCATTCAACCGCAATTCTTCTTGGCATCGTTGCAACTGCCACCACTAGCCACATTATGTCATAAAGCTTATTACAGACTATCAATAACTCCTGACTATCATTAGCGAGAAGTTAAATAATTTATACTGATTGATGATGGACCGGCTTACCACATTAGTAGCTGTTACAACATAATATATTTCCTGCCACAAGGATATAGAAGAAGGTTACAATTTGATAAGGAAATCCTATATAGAAATGAGTGACTTAAATATCCTTTAAATGCAATTTGATTTTCTGTTTCTATTTATTTCGAAACTCCAAGTTTAATTTCACAATTCGAACCCGACAAGTACAAATATTAGAATATATGTATTTAGTGTTAAGTAAAGAGTCAATTCGGTTAAAAATACTACTTAGATTATCCTACTGATTAAATTATTCAACCTAATAAATCCCTGTGGTTAACCAATCAGGGTTATTTCATCTAAACCTTAACTGAAACGTATTTCTAAGAAAAGATGTGTATCATCATCGATGTCGACCAAAAATGTTATTGTTACGTGCGCATGTAACTAATTTTTCTCCTTGGTTAAATTTTAAGTACATACGTCTAATAAATCAGAGTTATTATCAAGTAGCACCAGTTTCGTACGAACTGGAACCTAACAATTATTTAGTCATTATTTCTCACCTTGGCTTCTAAAGTATTGCAGCGAGTTATTTTTTGTTGTATCTACTTTTATGACAACGCAATAAAATATGTGGCTGAGTTATTTCTAATTAGTGTTATTGCGTCTTTGTTTTATTTGAGTGTATTAAGAAATATTACATTAAATTAAGATGGAGGTGTAGTTTGATTGGTAACTGGTGCAATTTGATATGTTGTGAATCGGATTGCTAGAAGACGAATACGTTACATCACGGTGGTTGATACCGAAAGTGGTTTACTTATCGCTAGATATGTCTTAATTGTATGTTGACAGCAAACTTAATGCTATACACGATTCACAACCGATCATTTTGAAACCGAAATATCAGATGACTCTTTCAATTATCTGAATTGCTCAGAACATTGAAAAAAGCATTACATACTCATCGGTTACTCGGTTATTCTACGTCAAACTTTTCTTTTACTTTTCAGAAGGAAGTGATATCGATAAGGATTCTAGCACTAGATACGTATATATTTTTTAAATCATATACCTATACCTACTATTACATAAAGCGGAAGAGTTTGTTTTTTTGTTTGTTTGTTTGAACGCGCTTATCTCCGTAACTACAAGTCTGATTTGAATAATTCTTTTTGTGTTAGATAGCGCATTTATCGAGAATGGCTATAGGCTAAAAAACATCACGCTACGACCAATAGGAGCTGAGCAGAGCGTGTGAAACCGCGCGGAAGTAGCTAGTTTACCAATAAATTCGCTCGCTATCACAACTTTAGTACAAATAGCATAACTGGTAACAAGAGGGTGCTCAGTACTTAATTCAAGGACATTAAACCGCCAACCTAAATCCAGCAATATTGGATGATTTATTTAAGAAAGCCGATAAAGGATATTACACGATTGGCTCTTGAGACACAGATGCCTGTCCGCCGCAATTTACTTATACGATCCGATGTCAAACCCGCATCACTTGGACACCAATCATTTAAACGTCTACTTGTCCTTAATCGACGAAAGAAGATGTTTTCCTTTAAAGTGGGCAGATCTATATTAAATGGTTCTTTTTTAACAGTGATTTTGTAGAAAGGATGTTGACTTATTGGCTTTCATGTTCATTGTTTCATCTCAAGATTACCTATCGCTTACCGCACGCCTCTTTGTGTTGCCGTAGTATGTTTGTAAGTGGACAATGACAAGAGTCAACCTAAAGGTACCGTTGCCCGTGCTAATTTGAAGCACGAAAGCATGCTTCAATTGAGCACTTCTCTCTTAGTAGCATGTGTGTTGGAATGTTGCTCAGAATTAGCATGCTCATTTCAGGAATGCTTGCGAATTGACAGGCGTTCGGTTTTTGAACATTTTGAGCATGCTCAATAGAACGCCCTTTGTAGTGTGAAACATTACCTTGAATCTAGATACAATTCTACTGTATATTAATAATAATTGACTGCCGAGCACAAGACTTAACTTAAATTTCAATTAAAGCTAAGTGTTTTTGGATCCTTTCTCGACATTTCGGGTTTCTATTCGGAGTAAACTAAGGGTCCTTTAATATTTTAATTGTGAGTTAGTACGTAGTTTATCAATTTCTGAGTGTCTATTATTACGATGTATCGTTAACGTCACCGGACATAACGTTTTGAATGAGACTGTCTGTTTTTATAATTTGGAGTCCCGTTGTCCCCGAAATGGGAAGCAAAATTTACCCATTTTTGGAAATGCCGATGCACAATTTAGGATCAAGTTACTAAATGCCTCACTGAATCTAAATATTCGAACGTCCCGTTTTAAGTAAAAAAATAAATGGTCACGTTACGTATGGCACTAAAACAACATTGTCGAAAAGTAGATCGTGAAGGATATGAGATTTAAGTTTCATTTATACATAGGTACTGTGTTACATTTTTCTTTTTTTTTTCTCTTTATTAACTCGTCGAGTACCGGTTTTGTAGAAACAATTATAGAACAATAGGTTGCGGTCACCGGTGACCGCTTGGTGTTTGACAGTTTAAAGTATATTAAAATATAAGATAGTCTTTAAATCTGGAGCAGATTATGCCAGACTCATCGTGACCATAAGAATAATTGGAGTAGCGAGAAATATTAGGATCTGTCCAAACTACATACGAACTCATAGATCTTAACAGCACCGTCACAGTGTGGATTAGACAGAATGGACTAAAAAGCACCTATTTCTGCAACATTAATGTTCAATTCTTGAATTAATACTTCTCTCTCTTTTATGTCTGACACATTCCAGTAAGAAGTGTTGGACACCTTCAATTACACCGCATTCATTCATTTTTCTTTTGTAAATGCAATATTTGTCTAAACTAGCAGTACCTATAATGCATCATAAATAACTCAAAGATACTATCTTACAACGTGCTAATGGCCGTTGAAGCGCTCCATTTGTGTTGCGATTTGATGAACAGATAAATACTTCTTATTAATTAGACGCTATGAGTAATCTGATGAGATTTACACTCTTCGATAGTAA